CAGGGAGCCCGATGCGGGGCTCGATCCCAGGACCCTGGGATCATGACCCGAGCCGAAGGCAGATGCTTAACCGACTGAGCCACCCAGGCGCCCTTGAGATCTTTGTTTTTAAACATACGTGTTTTCAACTCTAACTTTTTCTTTGAGCATTGCTTTCACAGCCTCTCATAAATACATTCAGCAAAGTTGCAGGATAAACAATGAATCCAAAAAAAAAAAAGATTAAAAAAATAAAATACTTAGGAATAAATTTAACCAAGTAGGCAAAAGACTTGTACACTGAAACCTATAAAACACTACTGAAGGAAATGAAAGACACAAATAAATGGAAAGACATCCATGTTGATGAATTGGAAGAATTAATACCGTTAATATAACAGCTCAGTCAGAAGAGCATGCAACTCTCAATCTCGGGATTATGAGTTCAAGCTAAAATCGGGGATAGAGATTACTAAAAAAATAAATAAACTTAGGGGTGCCTGGGTGGCTTGGTTGGTTGAGCATCCAACTCGTGGTTTCAGCTCAGGTCATGATCTCAGGGTTGTGAGAGTGAGCCCTGCTCTACGCCCAGTGTGTGGCCTGAACTCATGACCAAGATAAGAGTCACATGCTCTACTGACGGGGCCAGCCAGGTGCCCCATTACTTTTATTATAAAAACTTAATTTTTGTTTAGAAAGACCATATAATGATGACAAAATCATAACCATAATCACATAAAAGTTATTTAAAAAAATTTTTAAAAGAGATTTTATTATTTGAGAGAGAGAGCACTTGAGCATGAGCAGGGGGAGAGGCAGAGGGACGAGCAGTCTCCCCAATGAGCACAGAGCCCGACGCAAGGCTTGATCCCAGGACCCTGAGATCATGACCACAGCCAAAATCAGACGCTTAACCAACTGAGCCACCCAGGCACCCCTAAGTTTATTTTTAAATTTTTAAAAATTTTTAAGTACGCTCTATGCCCAACATGGGGCTTAAACTCACAACCCCAAGATCAAGTCACGTGCTCTACCAACTGAGCCACCCAGGTGCCCCAAATTATTTTTTTAAAACATTTTTTAATTTTTAAAGTTTTTCAAAATAATTTTTAGTAATCGCTACACTCAACATGGGTCTCAAACTCATGACCTCAAGATCGAGTCACATGCTCTTCCAACTGAACCAGCCAGGTACCCCTGTAAAAGTTATTTGTCCCCTCCGCCCCCAGTTTTTTTAAATAATAATAAATTTTGACTATAATACAATGCTATTTTTTTGTTTGTTTGTTTCTTTTTTTTAAGTAAACTCTACCCCAATGTGGGGCTTGAACTCACAGCCCTGACATCAAGAGTCACATACTCCAGCAACCTAGCCAGCCAGGGGCTCCCACTATGAAAATAATTTTAAGGATAGAAAACAGCTTGGCCTTAAACCGACAAAATGGGGGCACCTGGGTGGCTCAGTCAGTTAAGCATCTGCCTTCAGCTCAGGTCATGATCCCAGCGTCCTGGGATCAAGCCCCCCGTCGGGCTCCTTGCTCAGCGGGGAATCTGCTTCTCCCTCTCCCTCTGCCGCTCCCCCTGCTTGTGCTCTCTCTCTCTCTCAGATAAATAAAATCTTTAAAAAAAAAAAAAAGCCGACAAAATGGTATCAGTGTTTGTGCTGGACTGGTTGGATTATAAATTTCCCAAATTTTTTGTAATATGCTTACATTTTATAAGTAAACAAAAATGAAATGATAGCCTTTCCTTGTAAAATAATTCCAGATTAGTGCAATAAATCCACAAACTCAAATTAATAAAGGGCTTATTGGGGCGCCTGGGTGGCTCAGTTGGTTAAGCGACTGCCTTCGGCTCAGGTCATGATCCTGGAGTCCCTGGATCGAGTCCCGCATCGGGCTCCCTGCTCAGTAGGGAGTCTGCTTCTCCCTCTGACCCTCCCTCCTCTCATGTGCTCTCTCTCTCTCAAATAAAATCTTTAAAAAATAAAAAATAAAAAAATAACGGGCTTATTACCTAAATTAGTGCTTCTGAGCATGCTGACCAGTGCTGGCATAAGCTGAAACTCAAATGTCCTTTGGACTCCACAGTGGCTGCAGGCTGGGAGCTCAGTGACTTCTGATGTAGGGCAGGTCAAAAAAAGTGGTTCTCCACTCCAGGAATACCTAGAGCAAGGAAACAATAGACCCTGAAGAAGGACCATACACAAATCACATTTCAACATCAGAGACCATGCTTTGCAAACTTTGCTTCCTTCTTGCAGAGTACCAGGAGCAAAACCAGAGAGCAAAGAAAACCCAAAGGCCCAAAACCTAGCAGCAAGCCTGTAGAGATCAGCAAGATATCTGAAGTCTTGTCAATGTTTGATTCAAAGTCTGGATGAAGGCACTAAAGCCAATGTTGAACCAAATCTAACTACAACTGCAACAAGGTCCAGACAGAGCTCAACCACAGAGTAAGCAGACTTGGATCTCCACACTACTAGCCTTACAGAAGAAGGGACACACCCTTCCAAGGAGTAAATATTTACTTCAGTATCTACTGTTCTTCAACATACAATGGTAAACAATAAAAAGAAATTAGATATACAGAACAGCAGAAAATTAATTTATTTATTTGAGAGAGAGTGTGTGGTTGGGGGGGGGTGCGGAGGGCAGAGCAAGAGGGAGAGAGAGAACCAGAACCCTAAGCAGGCTCCACACTCAGTGCAGAGCCCAACGCAGGGCTCGGTCTCATGACCTGAGCCAAAATCAAGAGTCGCACACTTAACTGAGCCACCCAGTGCCCTAAGAGCAGCAGAAAAATTTAAGCCACAAAAAAAGTCAATATAAGAATACCCACAGGGGCGCTGGGGTGGCTCAGTCGGTTAAGCATCTGCTGCCTTCAGTTCAGGTCATGATCTCAGGGTCCTGGGATCAAGTCCCTCATGGGCTCCCTGCTCAGCAGGGAGCCTGCTTCTCCCTCTGCCTGCCCCTCACCCTGTTTGTGCACTCTCTCTCTGAAATAAATAAAGAAAATCTTAAAGAAAAAAAAAAAGGAATACCCACAGACAAGATGACAGTTACCAGAAAAAGACTTTAAAGTGTCAGTGGCAGGGGGATAAAACAAACGAATAATAAAATATCCATAATAAACATATAGGGGCACCTGGGTGGCTCAGTTCATCAAGCATCTGCCTTCGGCTCAGGTCATGATCCCAGGGTCCTGGGATTGAGCCCCACACTGGGCTCCTTGCTTAGCAGGGAGCCTGCTTCTCCCTCTCCCTGCCGCTCCCGTGCTTGTGCTCTCTCTCTCTGTGTCTACCAAATAAATAAATAAAATCTTTAAAATAATAATAATAATAAACATAGAATCTAGCAGAAAAGGTATACATGCATAAACAGATGAGGAAGTCAGCACAGAAATGGAAACTGAAAGAGAAATGCTAGAAATGAAAAATGCCGTAGCTGAATAAAGAATTTCATTCAATAAAAGTTAACAGCAGGTAGGAAACAACAACAAAAAATCTGTGCATCTGAGGAAAACAGAAATATCCAAAATGAAACAAAAAGTGAAAATAATTTAAAAAAAGAAACAGGGTCTTTAAAAACCATGGGACAATTTCAAATTGTATGTCTAAACATACAAGTAACTAGAGTCCTAGAAAAAGGAAAGAGGACAGAAGAAATATTTGAAGAGGTAATGGCCAACATTTTCCCAAAATTCATGAATAGACATCAACGCAAAAATCCAAAAAGTTCAGCAAATCCCACGCAGGATATATTAAAACATACAGTCACTGAAGTACATAATAGTTTAATTACATAAGTATAACAAACATAAGAACAACAATAAGAATTACAGCTAATTTCTGGGGCGCCTGGGTGGCTCAGTTGGTTAAGCGACTGCCTTCGGCTCAGGTCATGATCCTGGAGTCCCGGGATCGAGTCCCGCATCGGGC